ATATATATATATAGAGAGAGAGAGAGAGAGAGCAATGATCCAATGCAACGGTTGTATTATAGTATAATGCAACGACACTTCTAGAAAACCATGTTTGTGATATTTGTATGACTTCAAATTTTGCACACACACTCTCTTCATCTCAATAATCAATCCTCCCCTCAAAGAAAAAATTTCAATTTGAACCCTAGATAGGGTCAAAATGAGTCCCCTCCAAAAACAAATCTAGACCATTCATTTTAAGAATTTCAAGATCTTAGCCTTTATAAATTCAAAATCATTTTTTTCCTTCTTTAACATTGTTCATCTATTAATAATAAAGCCATCCAAAAAAATTGGAAATGAAAAAATCCTACTAAGGCCTAGATCTAAGCATCTCACTAAAATGAACGGCCTATCTTAATTGAGCTAATAAAATACTTTTTAGGTTGTGTTTTCAATTTTTTCTTTTTTTCTTTTTTTGTGATTGTTCTTTGGAATTAAAAGAGTGTATATTTCAAAATTTGGATCAAATAAATGACCATAAAATGGTTCTTTAAGGTTGTTACATCATATTACTATACAACCGTTGCATGGAATCATTACCTATATATATATATATAACAAATTAATTTCTTATATTTCAGATTTTAAATAATTTTTATAAAAAAAATTAAATCCCCTGCTTGACCACTAAAACCGGAAAAAACTGGGCGCCTAGTGGACGTGTCCGGGTCGACTTCGCCGGTTTTTCAAATGGTTGGATGAACTTCTAAAATCATTTGACACCTAAATGACACGTCCCTTTTTTATCGGTTTTGGGTTACTTGAATATGTCCCACCCACTTGTGCGATTCTCTCTACCCCCAATGAGGTGGCTCCCATATAAAAGAGGGCTGTGGTAGGAGTGGCAATTGGGTTAGGTCGATCTGCCGGGTCCAGGTCCAGGTTCAGGTTTGGGTCCGGGTCCGGGTCCGGGTTCGGGATGTGGACGTGGTCGGTCGGGTTCGAGTCCAAATGTTGTATGGACCCTATTGGATTAGGTCCAGATCCGGGTAGACCCGCCCATTATTAGATATATAAAAATTGTATAAAATACAATATGTAAATTAAGTTTTTTTAAAAAAATTCAAGACCCAAATCCGGGGTCCAGACAAGAGAGAACAAGCGATAAGCAATAATGTACCACATACCAAAAGTATTTTGATACGAGGGAAAAAGAGAATGTAAATAAACAGGGTATCTACGGGTGCCCTAGACCTACGTTCTTCCTAAATTTTAACGCTCCCTAGTAGGCATGATTTGTTGTGAATGTGTAATTCTTGGTTTGATTTAGGTTAATTGAATAGATGAGAATAGAGATCTAGGATGTGAATTGCATCGTCAAGGTTCCCGAAAAACATCCCTGGTGGTAGTGGAATGGAACTAGCATATGTTTAGAACCCAAAATAAATAAAATATAATATGAAGGAGAGATATATAGAAAGAGGAAGAGAAGATGAGTAGAATTGAAGAAAACTTTTGAAGGCAAGGACTTGGGGAGATGCCATCAATCTTTCCTCTCTGTAGTTTATATCTTTTTAAAGCAATACTAATAAAAAAAATAGTTTTTTAAGGAAAATTATAGATACCTCAAAATTAACTTTATAGACATCCTCCTTTTTTAATATTGTAGTATCACATCCATAACCCAAGTACTGTTTTTTTTTACTTTTAACCCCCTGGTCAAAAAATCAAAATGTTTAGAACTAAAATGTTATTCTCCTCTCTCACTCTCTATATCTGATCTCGTTTTGTTTCTTTACCCGTCCTCTTTCTACCTCTCTCTCTCTTTCTTTACCTGTTTTTTTCTACCTTCCTCTCTCTACTTGCCCTATCTCTCACTCTCTACCCACCCTCTCCCTATCTCTTTTTCTCTCTCTACCCGCATTCTTTCTTTTTTTCTCTACCCAGCGTGTGTCTCTGTAACTAAGGATTCTGATGTAACTTCTATGAATCCTCTCCTCTCTATCTCTCTCTCTCTTGAAATGACTAAGAAGAAAGGATGCTGCGGTGAGTCTGTGACATTTATGAATCCTCCATTTCACTAGGGATAACATAGGATTTTTTTACTATATCTTCTATGAAAAACACACTCTCTCTAGCTGGGTGATTGATGCCATTGTCCATAGTGCTTATGGGGTGATTGACTCTCTCTCTCTCTCTCGCATCAACGAGGTTTATTTAGAAAGATCCAAAAGAGAGAGAGGACGGATAGAGAGAGAAAGAAAGAGAAGGCCGGCAGATAGAAAAAGTGAGATACAGAGGGCCGGTAGAAAGAGATAGGGTGGGTAGAGGGAGAAAGAGAGAGAGGGTGTGTAGAGAGGGCGAGAGAAGGGCATTTTAGTCTTAAACATTTTGACTTTTCATTGAGGGTTAAAAATAAGAAAAAAAATATTTAGATTGTGAGTGTGATACTAAAAGTATTGACAAAATGATGTCTACAAAGTTCATTTTAGATATAATTTTTTTTATCATTTGTTTTTTATCAAAAGTCTCTCTCCAAGCTCATGGATCTCTCCTCCCTTTAATACATATGTTGGCTTGAATACAAATGCCCTAATTTAAAAGAAAATAATAGAATGATTAAACTACCACAGAATTCTCTAGAACGCTAAATGAATGAATACCCTAAAATAAGTAAAACAAAATAACTCCAATTGCATTCTCTTAGGATAATAAAAAATAAAATATAAAGCTCTAACTGCATCACTAAATAAACTGCATCACTAAATAAATCTCCTTTCTGCCCTAAAACCTAGACTAATGGACGGTCATGATGCCTTGATCACCTTTACATTGATCAAAAGCACTAATCAAATAAACAGCATGCTCGATTATAAAAAGTGCAACAAAAATACCACATAACAAAGAATAAAGGTATAAAACAAATAAAGGAATTTATCAAATAAATATTCAACATTTTACCTATTTCTTTTGATTTAATATAAAAAATGCTCATCAAAATACACGTGATCGTTAGTTGGAATAGTTGAAAATAGTTAAAACTTTATTTAGTTGATAAATTAGCTGTATTTTGATAAATTTTCAAGAAAATATAAAAATATTTTAACACTCCCATCGTGTAAACTATTGCACAAGTTCTCTCCCATGCAAATTATACGAAGGAAAAAGTTTACATAAGGATGCTACCTTATAATGTAGAACTACGGATGCCCCTAAAAAATTCTTCGAAAAAAGTAGTTTTAATGTTGAAAAACCCTTTGATTGATCATCTCGACATCAAGATGTATAACTATGAAACATAAAAAGATTTTAAGTCTCAAAAATAGTGTATTTTACAATATATTATTTACACTGTCCATTTTCAAAATTTTCATATGTTTATAGATCTACTTAATTTCAAATATTTTTGAAATTTAAAATTTTATAATTAGATATAAAAATAGATTTTGAGATAATCTTAAGAATATTTTACGTAAAAATTATATACCATGATAAAATTTGAAGATACACCTTACCTCTATACCTACGAATATATGCAAACTGCACCCTTATATGAATTAAGCGCATCACTTAAAATCCCACAGCTCAATACCAACTCAAGCTTCTTCTTACTTTACACCTTCATCTATGCTACTAGGCATGAAAAAAAATACCAAATCTCTGTTTTCTTTTTTTTTGGAAAATTATCAAAAGTATATCTTAATTTTTGGATTATTGAAAATAAACTCCGAACTTTCTAACACCTCATTTATAGCTCTTTTTTCACTTTTCGTATTTTTTTTTATAAAAATAGCCTGTACAGTAGTCTTAGAATCGTGATTACATCACGGTATGGTCATGGGTGGTTGAATGTTTTTAGGCATGATGGTACTTAAACAACCGTGATAATCGTTAAGAGGCATCATGATACTTAAAAAGCAATGACGATCATTAAAGGTTATTATGCCCGTGATGAAGGAAACATTTGACAGAACTTAGATAATCGTGATAATCCAATAAACCATGATTATCCAATAAACTATCACAGTTCTTTAAGTGCCGTGATGCTTTTAAACTACAATTTGACTTACAACCCGTCATAACCATCACAGTCATGGTTCTAAGATTACTATAAGATTACTATGAAGGTTATTTTAATCAACTCAACCAAAAAAAAGATATAGATGACGTTTTGAAAAGTTTGAGGTTTATTTTTTATCTAAAAATTAATCTATGTTTTTTATATTTATTTATTTTTTTTACCAAAAGAAACTTTATTTTATTGAACTTTAGAATATTGTAATAAAAAAATCAAGTAAAGAAAGCCTCAGATATAGCAATCCATGCCAAAGAAGCTCCTCTCTTGACTAAACAATCAGCACTCTCCTTGGCTTCCCCTCCCAAAAAAGGAAACAATCTCTAAAATGGTACAAGGAAATACTTCCACCAGTTGAACAGAATTTCATCGCCAAAAATAAAGAAAACAGAGAGAGAGAGAGAGAGAGAGAGAGAGAGAGAGAGAGAGACAACATATCGTTACGTGTCTTCTCTTCGTACGAACCGTGGTCGTCGTCGTCTCTAACTACTCTGTAGTGTTACTTTCTTCGTTCGTCCTTACCTTCTTT